CCCCCGAGTCCCCCTAGTAAGGACTCCGTGTGGTCCCACCAGCTGCCCCAGTTTCCCTCCTGTGCTTTGAATGTCTTCTCCTTGCCCCGGCCCCACCGCCAGCCGGGAAGGCAGGACCGCGTTAAGCATCGCATCCCCTTCTCACGGAGCAATCTGCTCCCATCCATCTGATGTGCCGGGGCCAGGGACGGCTCTATTAGACTCTCTCCTCTCTTAAAATCTATCAGGGTGTTATCGACCCCATCTGAAACGTAAAGTCACTTCATTGTCATTGTCCCTGTATTTTCTTTCTCATTATTTTCCCGTGCCCCCCGCGGCATGGCTGGGCTCGGCGATGGCGCCATGCTCGGCCGCTGATAAAGTTACAGAGTTCAGGCGGTGATGAATGTTAAGTAACTGCACCCCGCGCAGATAGGATATGGACTTGGCAGGGGGAGCAGCTCCGGCTGAAACCAATCTCTCCCCTATCAGCAGGGCTGCTTTTTCTCAGGCTCTGCTTCTCCCCGGCTCTTTTCTTCCCCGATGGTTGCGGCCGGGGGCTCCCCTGGGGCAGCGCTGCCCCGGATCGGGCAGGGATGCTCGGGGTGCTGCGTCCCACCGGTGGACGCGTCACCGGGATGGGGATTTGCGGTGGTCGGGATGCTACCGGGTGCAGACAACCGCAGCATCCCCCCGCTATCCTTCATTCCCCCACTGTACTCCATTCCCTGCCGCCTGGATAAATTAAGCCTAAATAAATCATAAATTTAATTATGAACTGTTATAAATTTCCCCCCACCGTGAGCAATCGCAGCGTCGCCCCATCAGCAGTTACAGCATCCCCTACCGCCTTCATTCCCCTCCTCGATAAATTAGGCCTAAATACTTTATAAATTTAATTATAAATTATTATAAATTCCCCCCCCTCGCCCCCGAGCAATCGCAGCATCCCACCAGCAGTTGTAGCATCCCCCACCACCTTCACTCCCCAATATCCTTCATTCCCCTCCTGGATAATTTAGGCATAATTTAATAATAAATTATTATAAATACATTATCAATCCCCCCTCTACCTACCAGCTCCCCAAACTTTTTTTTCTTTTTTTCTTACCCTTTTAACTAGCTCGGGGCACTGCGGGAAGGGTCGGGGTGAGTTTTATCTGGGGGTGATGGAGAAGGGCCCTTAATTAGAGATAGGTGCTGCTGGGGCTGGCCCCAACCGCTATCAGCTCCATGCACAGGGCTGATATTTAATGTGCTGATATCCATGGGGGGAGCCCGGCCCTAGGATGCTGCAGCCGGGCTGATAGGGGGGAGGGTTGATTTGTGCTCAAAAAAAGTCCATTTTCTTCCACAATGGGGGTCCCGAGGGAAGGTGTTTCTCATGGGACTCATGTTTTTGGAGAGCGTTGCTATTTAACGCTGGATCCCAGCAGCATCAACCAAGAGGGGAAGGAAAAAATAACCCGCTGGATAACGTGACCTTTGAGGACCAGCATCATTTCCCGGCCACCGAAACCTCGTTTGCCCTCCACCGCGGTGCTTGGCATCCCCGATCCCCAGGGAATGGACTTGGGGGCACTCGAGGTCGTCGGTAAAGGCAAACATTAATACGTACTGCAGAGAAATTGGGTGAGAAGAGGCGGGCTGACGTCCCATCAGATACCGGTGGTTTTTTGGATTTGCAGCCCAGGTTGTTCTCTGGGCGTTGCTTGCTGCGGGGCTGACGTGGTGCAACCCTGCTACGAGACCCTGGGGAATCCCCGAGCTGTGTCAGACCCCACCGAATCAGCAGAGGTGGTTTTGCAGCCAGTGCAAGGAAAGATCAGGAGTGGCTGTGACCCTCTCCTGTAGCGGTTTTCCCTGGGAAACACCAGCCCCTGTGCCCGTTCCTGCAGCCCTTTGCTAACGGCTGCAAAATTTGGGGGAAAATAAGGAGGTTTACAGGCAGCGGTGCCGCCCCAAGGAGGCGATGCCCGAGCTGGATTCCCCGCATCTCTGTCATGGTTTAATGGATGAGCGTCGGGGCGGTGCTGGTGGGGAGCCTCACCCGGCTGCTTTGGGGTTTATTGGTTTATTATTATTTTGGTTTATTTTTAATTGGAAGATGGACTCAAGGCCAGCGGGAGGATAAGGTGGAGCTGGAAGGGTGAAGAAGACAGCCTCCATCGTGCTGCCTGCGTGGTCCCACCCAGTCCGGCGGAACTGGGGACATCCCACGGGTCCCACCAGTGCTGGGGAGGTGACACCCCGCAGCTGAGCTCCCCGGGGACTCGCTGCACCACAAGCTTTGGGGTGCCTGTAGGTGAGGTTTGGGGCGTGAGGCCGCCCGGATCCAGGCTCTCACCCTCGCTCCCCGGCTCCCAGAGGAGCCCTCCCTTGGGCTCACCACCTGCCCAGCCTTTTTATTTTTAAAAATAAGAAGTTTTTGGAGTTGGATGGGTGCCGGTGAATGCCAGATGGCGAAGGCAGGTTGCCCCCAGCCCGCACGTGGTTTTGGTCTGAGACCCGCTTTCCGCCACGGGGAAATCCTTCTCCTCCTCCTCCTCCTCCTCCTCCTCCTCCTCCTCCTCCTCGCTCCAGGGCCGGTGGGAAAGTCTGGGGCTGTTGCTATTTTCTATCTGTTATCGAGGCCTCTTATCGCTTTGCTCTTGTCTGCGTGCCGGCTTTCGGAGCGTCCAGGGTCTCACTCTTGGCAGCCTGGAGAAGTCCCCCCCTCCTTTTCTATTTTCCATATTATTTTTCCTTTTATTAAATTTACCGGCTAAGCGCAAAGAATCAAGAAAAGGTTTATTGTTTCTGCGCCGGGAGAACCTTAATTTGAGTGAAACGATTAAATCATCACCTGGGTAAGGACAGGTTTTCCTACCGCTGGAAAAGCCTCGGGGATGCCCACCCTCACACCCACCCGGACCTGTATCCCCAGCTTCCGCACGGGTGACATGGGCACACCGCCTCCGCTTCCTGCAAGTTTTTACAATCATTGTAATTTTTTTTAAAAAAAAGAAGAGGGGAAAAAAAAATCCTTCCTTGTTATCAAAAAAAAAAAAAAGGAGGGAGGGAGAAGAGTTAATCGTCGAAGCGGAGTATCTTGGAAGGGAGCATTTTTTGGCTCTTCCCCTCTCTGTAAAGCCAGCCTCAGTAATTCAGTTTTAAAGCATGAAAAAAGGGAGTTGATGAAATTCCACTATCAGCACTGAACCAATATGCAAAATATCTCGCCGAAAATCAAATAGCTATTATGTTTTCATTTCCATTTCAGCGTATTTGCTTAATGAAGAATAGACAGATCAGGCAAGCCGAGGGAGGCTGTGTGCGGTGATAACTGTGCAGGGCTTCCAGCAATCCCGGAGAAGTGACGCTCCGCTCCCTGCTCCGTGCTCCCTCTCCCTCGCTTGCTTTTTTTTTTCCTTTTTTCCCTTTTTTTTTTTTTTATTTTTTTTTTTAAGCTATCCAGTAGTTCGTTTAACCCATACAGCCAGGAGCACCGGTGGCAGAGCATCCCCTGGGGATGGATGGGCACGCTGGGAGCGGGATGCTGCAGTGGGGCAGGCTGGGTGATGGGATGCATCCAGGGACCGCGGTGATGTGGGACCGGGATGCTGCCGGCCACCCATCATCCCCACAGGCGCTCAGTGATGCTGTGGTACCCAAACCCCAGGTTGTACACAGCTGCATTTATACAGGGCGTCCCGTCTCCCTCCCAGACTGGGGTCTGTGTTTCGGGGCAGGATGCGGGTGGTCTGGGCACCCCTGGGTGGGTGCCACGTGTGGTCCTGGTATCCATCCATCCCTTCCCGGCCCCGTCCATCCCTCCCCAGCCAGGCTGGAGGTGCCAAGCCACGGAGCAGGCGAGAGTCGGGTTAACTTTATCAGAAGCCCGAGAGCCGTGAAGGCGTGAAAGAAGAAATTAGCCTAACAATGTTTCATTTACAGCGAGAGAAACGATTTGTTAGCTGGCGATTGTTTCTGAATATTATCAGAGCCTTTTTAATTGTGCTGGAACTGAAATTAGCAGAATTAGAATAAATTGCCTTCCCTTCTCCGGCAGCCTCTTTATTCACGCTCATTGTTGTCTGCTTTGTATAGATTATGGGCTCTTTGTTCTCCCGCTGTAAATATACATGCCTGGAGTCACGGAGAGCAGCTGAGGTCTGCAGACGGTTTGTCACCGCGCCGTTCCCCCTGCCCGTGTGCCGGGCTCGGCAGGCGGTGCCGGATGGGACACCGGGCAGCCCCCGGCGTGTGGCTTCGTGCGGGACGAGCCGCGTGCGCCGCCGTTTCTCGCCTTCTTGATTGCAGCGAGGATGGGGATGCTGCGTTGCCATGGAAACGGCAGCGTGGGCTGGCAGGGCTGTTTGGGGAGATGAGGGGCTGCTGGGGTGTCCCCTACATGTCCCCCGCAGAGGGGACATGCCCCCTCTGTGCACCCCGCGTCCCTGCCGCGGCGTCTCGCTTTGTTCAGGCTGTGGGCATGGTGGGAGGCTGCATGGGGGGTCCCCCATCAGACGAGGGGCGCTGGGGACCTTGGGGGACCGTCTCTGGGGTCCCTCGTCCTGTCCAGGGCAAGCACTGGTGAGGGGGGGGGGGTCAGGTGACGGCTGCGGCGGGATGGTCACCTCGCCACGCCACAGCCACGTGACTGCGGCACGCAGGGACCGCTCTCATGTCCCGGGCAGATGCGAGGTTCATTTCCCCACAATATTTGCGGGGAACCGGGCATCCCTCAGGGGACACCCCAGAGCAAGGCAGTGGCTCTATAAGTCCCCCGTCTGTAAGGGGACAAGGGACCCCAGGGAGATGCTGGATCACAGGGCTGGCCGGGGATGGGGTTTGCCTTCCCGTGGTGTGCAGAGCTGCGGGGCATCTCCTCCAGGCCCCGTGCCTGTGGTGGGGGAGGGAAAGGACCTCCAAGGGACTGCCATCCTACATTTCCCAACTGGGAAAACCCACTGGGTGGTTTTTTTTTTCCCCCTCTGTTTTTTACCCCCCCATTAACCGATCCTTCTGTGTTTCGGCAGGTTCCCTGGCAGCGATGGAGGAAGGCGAGGACGGCCTGGTGGGGGAGAAGAGCCCCTCAGAGAGGGACGGGGCCACCTCGGACCATGAGGGCTCTGCCGAGCGTGACGCCTCCAGCCCCCCCGGCAGCGAAGGTGAGTCTCACCGTGATGGTGGGGGTTGACCAGGATGTCCCCCGGCTATGGGGACAGGCTCGGCCACCGGAGCAACCTGCCGGGCACACCAGCATCCTGGGCATCATCATCATCTCTGCTGTTGGTTCGTGGTGTTAATTAGCAAACAAAGCATCCCGCCCTCCCATCAAGGGGTGGGCTGGTGGTTAAGTGAGACCCCCCCCCAGTCTCCCTGGGGTGCTCCATCCCTCCGGCCACCCTCCGGGCAGCCTGGCCCCGGGGTGGTGGTGAG